AATTTTAGAGCTCGCTATGTCCACGTAAAGGACGTTTAGCATCTATTGAGATACGGTGGGTGACGACAAATGCTTAGCCGGCAGTATGGCTTGTCTCGGTCTTCATGAAAATGTTCCTTACATTTGTACGAGAACGAATTAGCTTGTTAGCTAGAGAATTTTACTATTTGTCAAGTAATAAGCAGACACTCTGCTGGAAGCATGTAACATAGAAGTGTTTAGATGTTTCGAGAAATAGATCCGTAGATTTTCATCTGCATCAGTATTTTGACTCGTTCAATCATGTGTCAGTTGTCAGCAGTTACCCTTTCACCAGTTATATTCTTTATAGATTATAGATAGACTTTATAGATTACAGAGAAAGAAAAAAGGGTTATAGGCCCATTGGTTCGATCAACTGTCGCTGTTTTTAACCGAAAAACGACTAATGATCCAAAACGGAACCACCTGCACGTTGAGCCTACAGTTACATACGAACACGGATGCATGCGTCATTTCATATGGTAACAGCAGCAATAACAACAAAGACGAATTTGTTTGTTTTGTTAACTCTAAAATGTCGCATATTAGTCGTCCCTCGATCCCAAAAAAGCCGTTTGCGTTTATAAAGCGGCCCGCCCCATTTCGGATTGACAAAAAAAAATTTCATACAAATTGAAACTTGCTATTTTAAATACAACTCACAACGAAGGGGTGCTTGCATGTACACTTTGCTATAAACGCAAAAAGCGTTGTGAGCCTTCAAAGGGGTCACACGCAAAAGAGTATATTCAGTTATATAGCCAAACAAAAAGCTGATTCACTCTAGCTTTCAGTTAGCCATCTTCGGAACCTCATAGCCTGCGTGTTTTCGAAGGAGGAAGCCTTCTTTATATGACAGGCATATTAATGCTGCTACAAAAAGCTACGACTTACTATTGGAAAGCTAGATGTTCGCTTTAGTATGGTTATCGCTGATTTTCCTGACTCAAAAGCTCATTTGCGACTGAACCGCTACAAAAAAACCTGGCTAGCCGAGTGGCATTCTTGAAGTCAGTCATTGTTTTGACGTTTATTAGTGTAGATGATCCAAAACTTCTTGATATACTGCTACGCGAAGCAAAACGTGTAGCTCAAAGTAGCTTTTAGGAAGTACCAAATTACTGAATGATAACTGTTAATTTTATCTACTTAGTAATTTTATTATTATTATTATGCAGTGTTACATAATATAATTATATATTTAGTAAAGTTGTGACGCATTAGCGGTTTAGAGCAGAAATCGATGGAAGAGGTTACATCTTGTCCTGTTATACTGACACAATCTCTGCACTAAATTTCATCACGAAGTACCATTTCACTTCAGTCATGACATGACACCACTGGAATACTATAAAAGTTGTCCTATTTCTTATACTACAGTCAATATGAAATACGCTGCTATTGAAAAATAACACAAACGTAGATTTATTGTTATCGTGAGAATTACAATTGCCATCTCATGCCAGTTTCAGCGTTATCGATTTGCCCCCTATTGATTTTTACGTTATTATTGTTATTACTACTGTTATATATATACAATTTGCTGGCTTTCAACTCTTTCGTTTCGAAACACGACTCAATGCTTACACTTCCGTATATCTTCGTTCTAGTTTTTCTTCTTCCCCTTTTTTACACTCTAACCTCTTAGAAGAGTTCGATCTATTTATGCTTATTGAGAATATACAGCTCTATTTATATTATGTATACTAGGTTTGCATGTATTGGTTCATTTACTACACTCATTTTCAATGTAATTAGCAAAACACGCTTAAAAGTGTCGTCTTCATCTTGGAGCTGTCCTTATTATATTGGGCTCATGTTTACTACTTCTCTCGCTAGGCAACCCTTCGTTTTATTGAATGACCCGGTATCAGCCGTCGATTACATTAGAAACGGCCAGTCATTGTATGTCGCCATAAGTGATATATAGTCACGGATAGAAAATTACAATCGTTTGATTCTGGTTTTTTTTTTTGTTTTTTTTTTTATAAATCTACACACTTTATGTATCTGCCTCCGTCTAAATTCTATTTGCACGCTATCAAATTGCTGCTTCTAGCCTTCAATTGAGTTAACTCTTAAATCTACTGTTTCGAGGCATCGAGGTTAGCGGATCGCCATTTTATACTTTTAAGAACTGCGAAAAATCAATTGAAACTGTTGATGAAGGTATCCTATTATGAATCACACTCGTCGGGTTAAACACTTACTTAACTTATCCGTCAGCCAGAAATCTCAATAGATCTGAGCTAGAGAATCGCTATGTCAACAATGTCAGTTGTCATTTGGTGAGCTTCATTTTTTTTTTTGTAGCAACGCCATGCTGAAGTAGCTCACAATCAAAGTTAAGTATCTCCTATACTGGCTATGACAACCCTTTGGGGTAAAATCATTATCTATCCATTGTCTGTCGATAACGTTACACTTCTACAATATGGCTATTGTATTCAAGCATCGCTGAACTTAGACGAGACTGAAATCATTGCCGAAAATTAAACTAACTGTAACAATAACAACTTTATAATTATCGTTTGCTCTAATAGCCATACAATGATCAGAATCAGCCTTATACTTCGAAAGCTGTTAAAGTTGGCCAGTTCTTTTTATAGAAATATGCAATTTCTTCCCAAAAAAAAAACTTCTAGCCAAATTTAGAGATAAAATCCAGTTGATTTTTTTTGTGTTTTTTTTTCGTTCCATGGATCCACTAAGACTGGAAGAAAATCGTGTAGATATGCTAATAACGGATACATATATATATATATATATATATATATATACGTATATGTATATATATTGCAAGGGATAAACTTCCGCTTAAATCTCACTTTCTGTTAGAATTAAGCAAAAACTGAATGGGGTAATTTACGGTTGCTTTAATGCTATACACGGCGGTTGGCGATAGCAGACTCGTGGCATGTCCACGTACTATATAATTGGACAAGTCTTATCCTCTATTATCCTGCCATATGTCCTATAGGGAGACCTTTCTCAACCGTCACAACATTTCTCACTGCTGAAGCTGTCGCCTTCCGTTTGTAGGATGGTTTTCCTGATGTGCAAACAGCCCTAAACGTTCATTTTAGACATAATGTAGAAATCTATCTATAGTGTACTGTTGACTAGGTTCGAGCAATGAATGCGGAAAAACAGGAGTTTGCAAAATTCGACGGATTTGGGATTTGACTAGATTTTTGATCGGAAATTGTATGTGGGAAAAGGTGACTCCTTTCTTGGACGTGCAACACTGGACGCACGAGCGTCCGAAAAATATGCCGAATTGTTTAAAATGAACTTTAATTTAATTTAACTTTAATCTGTTAATAAAGCTATAACAATACGTTACCTTCCTTGTACGCTTAGCTTTTTCTATGATGATCTTATGTGATGCGGGACCCCTTGTGCTTCTACAGGTCAGAAGAACACGCACATTGTTGTGCTTGTATTTTTTCTTTTTGTTAAGAAGCAAAATAGCTGTGATTAGTGTCCGTATTTTTATGAGAACTATTACCCAAGAAGATTAACGAAACATGGGTGTGCTTTTCGGAGTCGATTAACGACTATTACGAAGCTAATTGTTCCATATTAAATTTTCCGTTTTGCGATGGGTGCGCTCCGCTATATCCAGCATATGTACCTACGCATTGCTGAACTAATCCTACCAATAAAAACGTAATTGCCAACCTTAGCTGAACAATAATCAGTGCCCCATTAATGGATTGGAGACCTTAGGAAGCGCAGCTTTCTTTATAAAACTTACGCGTCGGATACCTTTTGCGCATTGGCAGCGCGAACGGGTATTTATCAACGGAATGACACGACGAAACTTATTAGCTAACGACGACTACAATACAAAACCTAACAACGCCCATTTGTTTCGAATAACTGGGCTGCCATTTGGAAGGGGGATGAGTAGTTTTCGATGAGAGACTAAACATTCTCGCGAAATTAGCCGGGTCGCAGGAATGTTTAGGATGAGCTGTAACAAACGCAGATGCTAGTTCGAAAAGTCTCTCGGCGATTCCGTATGCATGGCTGGAAATTTGCAGATAGGACTTCAGTAACTAAATGAATGGAGAAGATCGAACATGACAAGGGCACGGCATTTGGACACAGTTTCATAAGAATCGACCCGTCAGGACTACCAAGCAAACGATCTTACGATGGATTTACTTTTCTATTTAGAGCGAGGCGAGTTATTAATAAGTCTACACAGGTGCATATAGACGTGCTTTCAAACCAGGAGTGGATCGTGTGAAGATGATAGGTGCGCTACTTCCTCTTAGGGCCTCTGTGCGCACCTGATGTTACGAACGCATGCGTACCACTGTGCCAAACAAATAGACGCCTACGTTTTGGCATCATTTTAATGGGAGGGCCTCATCGTGTCTCTAGATATGCCTCTTTCGATAACGTACTCTTGAAGGATCACAAGGGGGCGTCCGGTCGCTCTTTCTAGAGGGAAGCAACATTTACTTGGCTTCTGAATTCGGCTGACTAAACATCAACCATGGCAAATTTTCATTCCGCCGTACGGCTATGAGGCGTCCGCTTACCCAAACCGAAAAAGCCTGTTGTCGCCGTCCAGAGTCTGTGCTGTTGTAGCATATCATCCGTGTGTTATTTGATGGCTTGAACATACAACAAAGCCTAATACATACCCACGGGTACGCTGATGAACGAACCTTGAATTATAGGCCGTTCAATAGAAACACCTAAATGTTTTCATCCGTCTGCCAACAGACTGGTAGAAAGAAACCTAGCATAGTGTGTACACACGTGCGGTTCAGGACGTTCATGCCCTGTTGTATACACACAGCTATAATGATAATAAGCTATTTCTATTCGTGTATAAATGTTTATGGTTGGGACGCATTCTGTAACGATATTTTTCACTGAAAAAAAGTATCGAAAAAAAAAAAAAAAAAAAAAAAAATAGCTATCCACCGGTTGTTCGAGTCTTGTCGTAACGTTGCCTGCGATCTCATATTTGCATCTTTTTCTTTTCATCGTCATTTTCGCCAACGATTCTTTAACGCTTCGTAGCTTTACCACAGCATTATAGTAACAGTTTTATTATGGAGATAGATGCATTGTACGTTTTTCGGTAATAAGCGGACGCAAGCAAGACGTGGGTTGGCGAAGGTCAAACGCTTAACTTTTTCTTTAAATTTTGATCTCTCTTGGAACGATAATGATTATCATTTTTTTTTTTGGCACATTGGATTGAAACAGACCGAAAAAAGTGTTCGAAGCTCTCTGTTGTGATTCAGTATAATAGGGTGATAATACTAACAATAAGCATGTTTATTTTTAATCAGTTAACTTCACCGTTTTTTATATGCATATCGTGCACTGGCCGTTTCTGTACAATTATTTTTATTAGTTGATCGAACATTTTTACATGCTTGCGTTTATTTGTTCATAGATATATATCCGTGTTGTTCTCTTCATCTAGATATAGAAAGTTTTGCCCGTTCTGATACATTGTACATGCTCATACATCTGATGTGTGTATGAATCCCTTGTTGTACAATTGTTCATTCCCATGCTATCTAGAGTACGTGTTAGTATGATAGCAAAAGTTGAATTGGATAATGCGACAAAACTCAAAAAGTAGCTGAAGCCTGAACGTCTAAACGTTACGAAGCCTCGGAGCAGCTCAGAATGCGTGCGGAGACAATATTGTAATGTACGGACGGGTTGACTGATTAACAGAAAGGGTAGTCCAATTTAGGTGGTTGCGGTAGCGGTTGTAGGTGTCTTTTTTTTGCTGTATCCTACGTGTTGTTGTCCGCTAGACCTTGTGGTTGTTATCCTGCTCGGCGATGTCCTGTAGGACGGTGACTGTTCGCGGCTTTTTTCTTCTCCTGAATAAGGCACTGGCACTGAGCCGATACGTAGAAATAACGAGTATAAGTACACGTTCATTGCCAGTCCGACCGCAAGAAATGAGGATGTGTCAAAGAAGTGAAAAATCATGTTTTATTAGACAGGGTTTTATATAAATCGTATTTAGGGAACGTCCCTCTTGCGCTCTTTCGTTATCCCATACCATCCTGTACGTCAAAAGTTTTGTCATCCGGCCTAAACTGCGTAGCTTGGCAACTAGAAAGTAGTATCTATAAGAGTAGTAAAGGGTACCGTACTTGACGACCTCCGGAAGAGGTGAATTTGCATGCTAAGTGTATCGCTTACACAGGCTTTTTCCTTAGTGATTAGGGAACCTAATTTAACTTAACCTGGTTGCAAACATCGAGTATCGAAATGTTCTCCGCCGTTTATAGCTTATGCGGATCGACACTGTTACGTAGAGTTCGCGATTCAGCGTCCAGAAGTTGTACACGTGCTAACCGCAAGTAAGCTCAATATTGTCATTACTAAAATAACCATCGATGTAGGGTAAAACAAATCCCAGAAACGATAGTAGCAACGTCGGTAGCTCGCAGCCGCTAGAAGACATTTCGTTTTGTCGTAAACAGTAATTTTTAAGTGCAACTCCCGTTAAATAAAGCAATGTGAAAATCGAGATGCTTTTTCTAGGTAACCACTATTGGCAGTTACCTGCGGAGCAGTCCTAGTTGGCGTCCGGGCGAGCAACGAGGCTTCGTGGCCCCTCGTTGCTGATTCTGCTTGAAAGAGTGTGATGAGGTCCCTGTGATATCTAGGGGCGCAACATGCGCCACATCGGGCGGGGGCGCAGGCAGAGACGGCGTGCTACCATCGGCAGCAAGGTCATGGTGACCACCCTCCGTTCCACCAAAACGCCCTCGCACGCACCGCTAACTTGTCACACAGCAGGCTACGAACAACACAATGATAAACATAATGCTGCCAACCGTCACAGAAGTCTCCACTACGCCTGTAAGTGGTCGTGCAAATCCATTCGTCACAGAACGATCCCATCGCTTCATCATTATGTCTAAATGTGTATATATATATATATATATATATATAGATGTATAGGAAGTGCTAGTATTGAAATAGGTAGTATTTCATGAAGGCCATGAAACACTTCTTCACGCTAACGTGTTCTGTGACATGATAAAAACAACTTGATCGGAAAGACAACGAACTTCATCTTTCATTTCAGTGCAATTAATTGTGAGCTTCGGGCTTTTGCAAAGGGTTAAAACCTTTTAAAAGTTACGCACGCCAAACGGAAAGTATGTAACTTAGATATACTCCTCTGTATGTATGTATGTATGTATGTATGTATGTATGTATGTATGTACTAACCATTAGTGAGCAGCTTCGATGGCGGGGAAATTGCTTTGATAATAACCCTAGCTGGTTCAGACCTGCCTTTTTCATTCCGGGCAAATATTAGCACTATACATTCGGTGGCTTCCGGTAAACCGCGTACCTCAAAGGCGGCGTCGCGATCAGATGACGCATTGAAAAGAAGTACGCCGGAATCTGCATGGCGAACCTGTCGATGTATTAAGTGCACAACAGACATCATTTAAAAAGAAATACTTTTTACAGCAAGGTATAAATTTAATCTAATGCTGGTTATTCTTTTATCATCTCAACCCAATTAAACTTATGCTGCTATGAACCCAACGGGCCAGGTCATCGGAAGCTGGACTCCCCAAAAACTCTCTTCTACTATATTTCTAGTGAATTCTACTATAGTTTTCCCTATTCTACTATATATTACGTTGCCAAACCAGAATAGTATAAATACACAATGCGAAGGCATCATCCCTCATGGTGGCTTTAAGCGCAATTAGTTTAGCTATCCATTCACCTGCAAAAAATTATCCCTCAAGAGAAAAAAATACCCGGGCAGTTTTTTCCTGTGTACATGTCATATAGGGCTATCCAACCTGAACTAAATAAGTGCTTCGAATTAGCATTAGCTAGCCGTTAAGCATTGTTTTAGACGCTAAGATTAATCTGGTGATTTTCACCTTCACAGTCTGGAACTACCTAATTACATATGCACTTTTAACTTACATACTATCCATGATTTAGCAACTAGAAAAAATGAAGCGTTCAAAGTATTCTCTTTATAAACTTAACTACATTGAACATTATGACGGGCTGCAGAAGCCCTCCACTTAAACTTGCCTCCACTTGGTAGATCTCTGCAATGTGTTCCCTCGACGAAGTATCGCACTCAAGGAAAAACCAACTTTGGGCCTGATTGACAACCTGGCACTCTTCTAATGCCGGAGGAACGCCTGAAGTAGACGAATGTAAAATTCTATATACGCTTATTGTTTATCGCTATGAACTAACCTATGGTTATCACTACACGAAAGAAATATGGTTCCTGCGCAGGGCATTTTACCCGATTGTTATTGAACTTAATATCCCTACAAAAGAGAAGAGATAAAATATACGTCCCAAAAATACGTTCTACTTGACACTTCTAACTAGCTATCGCGGCAGTGGGAAAACATGCGTCAGAGAAGCCCAGTATCTGCAATGCTGCTAGGCCCAACCTCAATCATCGATCGTGTGCTACCTTAATTTCGATTTGGTTTGCGTTCAGCTGAAGTGAGCCGTTAAATTTATTCTGCATCACCTTCTCACACAAGCAAGTGCCTGTTTTAAAAAATTGTGTTGTATATTTGCTTACTGTTTGTATTGGATAAAAAACAGGCGGAGTGAAAGAACAATTTTTTTCACCCCTTCTAATTTTAGCCAACCTGAGTACGAAGCTGTTACTTCCTCCTATTGGCCTGTTGTCGTCTTCAGTTCTTCTCATTTGAATCTCCGAAACTATGGCACAAAATTAGGTGACTGTCGTTCACCATACGAAAACCGCTTACCTCAAAGCAGGCCATCCCTATAAAATTAGTGTTCGGTATTTTATACATGTGGTGTATAATGCCATCATCCGAACCTAATGGCAGCGGCTCGACGTTGTGCTTGTTAGGATTTCTTACGAGAAAAAGTTCACATCGGTGCAGTTACAGGAACGAGAGGATATGTCTATGCTACAGGTCGTGGTCGCAACGTTACCAGTAGTAAAAGAATAAAGATATGAGTTGTCATAAACCGCGTAAGAGCATACGTTTGTGTTTTTCCGACCATGATCATTATCTCGCCGACCACCGAATGTTTCCTGAAGTGGTTTCGCGACAAAAATACCAGATTATTTCTTCTCTATATGAGCTTGGTAGAGTTTTATCTAGCAAACAATAGAGCGGTTCCACGTGTTATTCTATTTCCATAAGTAGAACATTTATTTAGTTGGCCAAACCGAACGTGTACGGCTATATAAAAGTCAGACGTTAGTTGTCGAGTGTGCAACTCACGTCGTGTCGCAGAAAAAACGCCGAAAACCCTATCAAGTGTCTATATATATATATATATAGGGGCGTTTCGTGCTGTTAAACCCCACTACCATACCACTAGTTCCCTGTTGTAACCAGAAAAAAGGAAATTTGCGGCTGTCTCTGATGCGCTGAGGGTACAGAGGACAGGAGTGAAAGCCAAAAATAAACGTACTTGTAGGCATTAGAATCACAGAAACCATAAAAATGAGAGCAGTGTCCCTTCGTCTGCAACGGTTCTTACTGGACCAGCGTCTTTGCACGGGTCTAGTGGTAACGGAACTTTGTTAATTCGCTATTGAGCAGAAACTTCGAATTCGTGCTCACCATCTTCCAACAGAGTTGTACATTTCAACAGTATCTGTAACCATCATGTCGGTGGATATCTTTCCGTTAGTTTGCCTGTGTTAAAGGCCAACCGTTGACTGATCGATCTGCACTCCGCATAAGCGTCTAGATCATCGTAAACGATGGTTGGTCGTCGCTGAACGAGGTGAACAGAGCTTGTCGCCACTGGGGAATCAACCAATGTGTCAACGGTAACTAGACAGCGAACGAAGCCAAGTGAACGTTGGCTGAATACTTTGATAGAGATTAGAAATATGCTTTGTAAGAATGGCATGTATGCGTATGTAGGTATATGCAAACAATATAGTTTTGGGACTTTCGAAAATGCGACACGAAGGTATACAACAGAGCAGTAATCTCGGAAATATGCTGCACGAAGGTAGCTCGCAGATCTGCAAAAGTTCGAATAGCAATTTCTCGGAGCTAGAAAGATAGAAGAAGAAAACTTCCGATCCCAAATGATATTAGTTGGAGCAGCTTTTGACGCTCCCGTTGGGGAACCTTTCATTTCACTTTTGTCAAGTCAGCCATCGTATGGTAGCTGATAATATTTGAAGCACATTATGTTCATATATGCGCGCAAACTTTCAAACTTTTCCATAATAGTTGATAGAGAGTGTAAGATTTGTAAAGATTAGCATTGAAATCGATAGTTATTTCTAGCTAAAGATCCACGCATACTTCGCTAGTCAGCCAACTATGCCAATATCCCAGTTGAATACAATAGAAGTAATAAGCTAGCAATATATGCGCGCGTATAGTGAGGTAATTGTTAACGTTCCATTATCTTGGTATCGATATCGCACTTTTGCTGCTACCGCAACCAGCCGAGATAGGAAACCTCCTTATCACGATCGCTGTCAAGATCTACGACTACCCCATGTCTGTGAAATACGTGCTTACAGATAAAAGTGCATAGTATGTTGAAAACGTTAGGTGAAGAACAAGTTGTTTACAGCGGTCACGATGGCTCGTCGCGAGCGGAACAGAAAATCCCTCACAGGTTAGGTTTCAAAAAAAGAAGCTGTTTTCAATAACGATTTTTGCAAAACATCACAAAAGCAAAACATTCTTAACTCCTTCTGCTCAGCTGTATAGACAGTAGTGCAGACTATATTTTTGGTACCTATCGATAAATTTGGAAATGTTTTTCGGCCGCATCTAGCCGATAAAGCCTTTCCGCTGAATCTTCCTTTGAAGAGAAATTACAAATGCACGAACGAGGGCTGTGCCCCGTGCCTTTACAAACTATGAATACTCAAGCGTCGAATGGACGAGAAGGCAACTCATAGTAACGATAGGAATCATAGAAGAAATGACAGGCATAATGTTTGCTTCCTAAAACGCGTTTTACATATCGAATTATAGTAGATTAAAAAAATATTAAAATACATTTCTGTGTTGTTAGTTTTATAATCAGATTTTACTAACGCGTGTTGTTGCAAGTTCAACACGGTAACAGTTGTCTTCGATAGGACAAGCTGGCTTATCTCGAATCTTGCAGGCCCCAGAGAACCGGTGTAGTATTCGTTTGGTGGAGATATCTGTGTTAAAGGTGTGTATACGGTGTTAGGTACAATTGTTGTCGAAATGGTGTAGTGATGACATGTTCGCCTACTTAATTATCCGACATAAAAGTTACATCGGATCAATTGTCTCTCTCTCTTTTGTTTTTAGTTCCACACTGCGTTGCTTGCACTTTCATGCAGTCCGTCATTACTAACGTATATCCATTAGCCTCGTAATGGAGTCCAGGGCCCCCCTGGCGTCATTGCGATGCGTTTCGAAGAAGTAGCAGAATCAAAGATCTACATATGCTCGTTTTGTTAGCTGGTCATCGTTTTCTACGCGAACGTATCGACTACTCTGAGACTCTATGCGGCTTTCAGAGAATAGCGGCAACAAGAGCGTTCGCTGCCGCGCTATGGTGCTCGCAGTGTCAGGTAGTATTTCCCTCTCGAATTTCTATTGTTGACAGCAGAACGTTCTACTCGCACCTGTGACGCTCGCCGTTGCATCGTCGTGGAGGATCGTTGTAATAGGACCTGGGACAGGCGTTAACCAGCGTCTTGTCCTGCTATACTAAAAAGGTATTGTCTCCAACCAGAAGCCACACTATGTTTCAATAGAACAAAGTAAATGTGCGGTGACAGGACACAGCGCCGTACGATCGCCGTCGGTTTCGACACAATGCCAGAACGTTGGTTCCCTCTGACGTAAGTCTTCATGTAACGCTGCCCTACCCCCCGGTCTGTCTCCGTCTTTGGTCCGGACTGTATGTGTCCATTTTACTGCGTTGACAGCGGCTCGGTCCATTGGTGTGAGTCAGCCGCTTTGGGAACGATGTAAAGGCAGCGGCGTGTGCGTGGTTAGAATGATGGCTATAGATGTCTCACTGTAGTAGCAAGCCGAACTACATCTCATAACGTTAACGCTAAATTGACAGACGACGCGCTTTTTCGCGAACACGAAACAAGACACCTCATCGCCCTTGTGCCTTTACGCCATCATATATATATATATGTGCGTGTGTGTGTGCGTATGTATGTTTGTGTGTGTGTATGTGTGTCTGGGTGTGTGTGTGTGTGTGTGTGTGTGTGTGCATGAAGCTTTGTATCAAACAGACGGGTGGTAACCTGAAGGTCCTAGAATACGTCTGGTCGAATGATGAGGATCCGATACGAGACGAAAAAAAAAAAAAAAGAGAATACATGGTACTGGTAACGCGGAGCCGACTTGCTCGTAATAGACAACTATGACAGCGCCAACAACGGGCCACAGAAGTAATAAAGGCGTAGCGTTAGGTATCCTTACAGGGAACGGGGGTGATGAGAAAAATCCTGATAGATCGACGTTAGCCTATTGTTGCACAAGCTGCAATTCCTACCGCCAGGTGGTCAGGATCTGCTAGGAATCGATAAGGGCGTACACATTACGACTAGTGCAATTGCACTGGATCTTGCATGACGAAGTCTATACGGACGAACGATCAGCGAGGTATATATTTGATCGAACTTATGGCTTAGCCTTTCCCACTACCCTCTTAACTAGGTGTCGCATCAATTTTTATATACTACGGATGTGATTAGCTAAAAAAAAAGTTACTATATGTTTAAAACCTTTAACACTTGTAGCCGCGAGCTAAACTTTAAATGAAGATTATTGCTCAATTAAAAAAGCCACACTTGAATGTCAAATGACTTTTATATAAAAGTATCTATCTGTACTTTTGTTAAAACTCTATTATTCCTGGCAGTTTTAACAATCAATCGTGTTTATATATAGAGAATCTAATTTATGAAAGCTTCTAATAATTTCCAAGTCAAGCGTTAATGAACGAAATTTCGACACTGGTGGGATTATTATTTATAGACAAACGCCAAAGGAGTTTTTTTTTGCGCCTATATCCATGTTTGTCCCCCTACCAACCGGTAGGTAGTATTTGGCGACTGAACCATATTTGTGCATAAAAGCTTAATACTGAATTCTTGTAAGTGTCCACCTACGAGGGAACAACACATTGGCTTACAACCACTTTGTATCCCTCAAATCGGATTCTTAGCTGAAAGCAAGAGGCACCATTAAATGAACCATAACAAATACATATGGTTGTTTGAAAACAAACTAAATAACATGCTGCTTACCACAGACCCAAACCGATTGATAAGAGTCAGAGCGCCGAATCCCGTCGGAGTTCCGTATTCCACGATTCTCAAGGCTGGACCCAGGCGATTACTAATATTGTTATCGTTTTTAATTAGGGCCTAGATTGAAGCGTGTTCTCGTTGTGCATAAATCATGCCTCTTACCACTATATATGTGGGATCAATAAAACATACTAAACGCTTGAACGTTTTCGGTACTATAAAGTAGTCTGCAGAATCTATACGCATACCGCGGTTTAAGTTCTTATACGGCATGCGTTATTTCGGCTCACCTAGCGTTATGTCAACTCTGTGCCTATAACACTATGTTCAAATACGACATGCTCCCATTAGAGAATTAAAAATGGCCGAAGCAGGCAACCTACTAGATGCAGTTCGTGGCTCCATACCGTATGGTTGTACGTGGAAGACGCAGGGTCTGGCTCTGTCAGACCGGTTCAACGCATTCGATGCCCAACACTCAAGGTCCGCTTCCTCAGACATCGACGATGGCGTATAGAACAGAACAGATGTTGATTCGTTCATTGCTTTATGGTCGCGAAGAGTGCGGCGTTCGCTGCAAGAAGAATTTTCAGGAAGTTTAAGTTCTACAAGTGGTGGCGACAAAAGTCAGTATCGTCCTTTAGCTCTGTGTGAGCCCGTCGTTGCATAAGTTGGGAGCGGAAACTCCCATACATTAGGCCACAGTTTTGAACCATGTGTTGTTCTGCAACAGTTATAAGGCTAGCATAACTTAATTGTCTAATTAAGATCGAGTACGTAGCCAAAGAAGTTAATTAGTTCCTCGTAAATGTAAACTAATGCTTAGGAAACAAGCATATTATTTATTCAAGTGTTGAAAGCATCGTTTTCATACAGACATTAGAAGCTTGCGCGGTGAGAAACTTGGCGTTACCACCGCTACAACTCACGAAAAAAAATAGTCGACACACCTATATTAAATGTAAAACGTAAGTTCGCAGCTTTTCGAGCTTACATAGACTTCATTTCAACATAGTTCAATTTATTTGGTTCTATGGACAAAGCAGCGTCAGCTTTTCAATGGCTTAGGATGACTAGTTATAGTTAACACGGCCTCACTACAGCAATTATATATCTATCTAGTCCAAAATGCCGGTTTTTCTGAAACTGCAACTTTCGAAACTTACTGAAACGGCCATTTGAGAGCTTCCGTATTAGTTCGCAAGCACTCACGACCTTCTACACCTGAAAGGCTCCGTGAACCAACCCGGGGAATTGCGCATATATTTGGCCTAATGCACTTTTAAGGACCAAGCTAAAACCCTTCCGTATCTATGATTTCTTTCTATTTCTCAAACTTCTAGATTTGTCCACAATTCCACTGGACAATTATTGTAACATAGACGCTCGTCTATAGGACAATAGCTGGTGTTCGTCTTCTTAAAAGCCTGATGCAATGGGCCACTTTATTCATTGCTAGACGCACCTTCTACAAAGTCTGACTTCACACCCCTAAACTATATACATTATCTTACATACACGTAACGCTCTAATGTTTAGTTGATGTTATTACTGCCTCGACATCACATGACGTATTCACGCGTCGTGTGACGTGAATACGTCATGTGGCACTCAGTCACGAAACGTGTCAGACACGTTTCGTGACTGAGTGCACAAACGAGTTCAGTGTAGAGGCCGAGTGCGCGCAGAGAGAAATACGTATTCTCGATGTGTATGTGACTGAATATTATCTTTGTATCTACGTGTCGACCGTGGTACCGGCCGGAAAAACAGGTCTTATCTCCCACCTACTGGTACCGTATTAGACAGAGAAATCCGTCCATGTATCAACTGTACAGATCCAGTCATACCGCCGCCAACGTTGGTAGAATAGTTAAGTGCGCAAACATCGTCGTGATGACGACCCATGCACACTTCATCGTTGACACAAACTCGTCATTCAAATGCTATTTACACGGTAGGTAAATATGCTCGACTAGGATAAAGGCGACAGGCGGTGTTTGGGCCCACAAATCGTCTGCCATATCGTACCGAATAGCATAATCCGTGACTACACCTCGCTGACGAATTGGCTTTGCACTGCTACCGAGATCGTCGCTGAGGCTCCATATTTAGCTAGATGACTGACGACATGTCCTCCTCTTTTGGTACTTCGGTGGCCTGTTCAATTGCTAAATCTGTAGAGTATGTACAAGATAGATATTTAAGCAATCCGAGCTAATCATTCTATCTGAGCATAAATGTTGGCGAAGCGCTGAGGGTAAGGACCGTCTATAGATAGGCGTATATTTACATCAGAGAGCTTAATTCAAGCTTAATTTAAACTGCCAGGCCAGGAATCTCTGAAACTTCTCGCCTGCCCTATATTACTTCAACTTTTTATGTCCTCTTTTTAAGCCGCTAAACATTACTTCAGGCAGATCTTATCTGGGTTTTCTCCAACAGACCTATCGAACAAAATGGTGATAGCATGTCATGAGAATGGTTTGTCGGCAATTGAATTTGAATCTGCGATGGTGCCATGTTCATGGTTTGTGTAGCACCATATTCAGAGATGCCCATTGGCCACCCAGACCACGTCGGCCCCCCGTTCTTAGTCGAATTCATAATCTGGAACTTCGCTGAAATTGGCCACTATTCATTCTGTATACTGACCTCTGTATCTTAAATCTTAAAAATGCTAGAATGAGTAAACAGAAAATTTAACATCTAGTCTTAGCTGAATTGAACGATTCATTCTGTTCGTGCTAAAGGTGATGCATGCGGAACGAAGTATGACGCGAGCTTTTTCTGCTCTTTTCGCTTTGGCCTTCTTAAGGCTAAATCCAACGAAACAGCAGCAGGGGCAGCAACAGCAAGTTTTCGATCGATTTGCTAGGCCAATAGTTTGTTGTATTGGAAATGTGTCCTTTTAAACTAATAAACTATATATCGAAAAATCAGACAGACACGATCACATTCATGAAATCTACCAAATCACAGGACTCTGTTCTGGCTGAAAGCCATCGTGCTGTGGGTGTCGTTGACAGATTTATGCCCCGACTGTAGAGGGCGAACTGCTAGATGAGTAAATGGTCTCCGAATCGTCTGCTCTGTCCCTCTAATCTGTTTCATGCATTTACGATGGTATCCCCGAATAGCAAGATTATTTTAGAAAGTACCGTTTCATTACTGCACTATTTAGCATTTATGAATATTAAAAAAAATTCAAAATATCCCAAAAAACCCCTAGGCCAGGTACAAATTATATCATCTAATTAGCGTCACCGAAAGCTGATTATACGGCATAAATCCGACAAAAACAACAGGGGGCGAAATAACTCAGGAATGCTTTTGAAAACTTTTTGGGTACCCTTGTTTGGTAATCTGAGAAAACATGTCTATACGGATAGCTCTGCTAGTCGATAACGAAACCTGAATAGCAAAGATAATATAATATAGTTCGATTATAGTACGTATTTTCTTTATGCCGTGTTCTATTAAAACGAAACGATAAAATAAAGATTAGTTAAGCAAGTGGGAGATGCCGATATGTGTACAGCCGGCCACCTGGCAGGCAAGCAAAAGTTAAACACGCAAGATCACCTAGGCCTCCGAAGCCCTCAGCAGCCACAAACGACAACTGAAAAAAAAAAGAAAACCGTATTTCTACGATAATCTTTATACATTGCTCGCTTTAAGTGTTTGCCCATTTTCTCGAATCATCTTTTCCCGCTTGCCACTATATAAAGTGTCTGACTATTATTCGTGGCATTTGTTGTGATGATTCTGCTAGCTTAGGTACGTTTATCAGGGGTATTCGGTTAGCGAGTGTTCACTCTGAGCTAAACTATTATAGATCAGACCCAAATACAGTTTTAGCATGTTAAAGGGGAGGCATGCAACGGTAGAGGGCACAGTATGTAGGAACACAGCAAGAAGTTGCCTCCTGCAATATATAATGTATTAACGTGTACGGGACTAACAAGTATACCGTTCTCGTAAGTTCATCTGGAATGCACCGAGATACATTATGTAAAAGTTAGCTTGAGCTATTATTTTGAATTGAGCGGATTGTGGCCGTTGTGATATTAGAAGGTGGTTTATGAGATCGCTATTTGGATTTGCACGAGTGCACGTGCACGTCGCTATCAGAGATGATAGCTATAAATCATGCTTTATTTGTCGAGTGTACAACTGAATTAGTGAACTTTTTAGTGTCCGAGCACTTTTAATTAAATTAGCGCGCTTTCAGGTGGGTGAAACGTCTAAACTATACAACAGTAGCTTTGATAAGACAATTCATTTCTATAAACGAACCATACATCTGGAATCCTTATGATCTAATATCCAAAAATTTCTTTCCAAGATTTTCCTGATTTGTTATCCAAAAAAATCCAAAGATTTGGTTAGTTTTTTTATTAGATATTAGTTCAAATCCAGTTGAGTATTGTCTCTGTTCACAGCAGCAAGAGGGAGCGTGATACCATTATATTTCACAGTTACACAAGGGTAGAGGCTCAATTTTTTAGAAGTACAAACATTGATTTTGAAAAAGCGTCGCATTTTAATGACAGTCACCAAAAATTCCCGTCATGGCGTCCTGCGGCAGTTCATAAGAACATTGATGTATAATTGTATAATACATGTGAAGGTTGCCAGCGTATTCGATGAGCTTTACATCACTTGGTAGCGATCCAGCATACGGATATATCCTAGGCAGGTAAGATTGACTTATATCATCGTCGACTCTAGCCTGGTACCATTTTAAGCTAGTATCATGAATACCTCGTTTCTAGTCTCCTCTATAAAAAGTGCTTCTCTGGTTATAATATGTATATAGTGGAAAAAGTGTGTACGCGCAGCTCTGTGCTATGCTTAGTTCGGACATGTATCGAATAGCTAGCTATACGCAGGTAAAATTGTCCACAGGGAAACTTCGTCATGCCGGACCAAGTAAATAACTTCTTTAGCTTCGTAAGTCGCCCAACTTATTTCAAAGACTATGCAAGCAGACTATAGAACCTTGATCTGTAGTTTTTTTTTTACCTCGTTCGCAAGTCTTATCCCATTGACCGGGCTGACTATCAATTGCCGAAACAAAGTAAATTAGATACTCTTAATATAAGAGCTCTCCAAAGGTCAATCTATGGGGCTCGGCCCTGGAAGGAGCCAGCTTTTGGGAGAAACGGGTCAACAGATTTAAAATCGTCATATATATTCAATTAACGCACCCGTTAGTAGCGTTGCGCACAAACCAGCTAAAGACGAGCCGATCACGTGGGTCCGCGTCCATTTGACAACGAATAATAAGCGGCGATTTTGTAGACGTAAATCGATAGTGTGCCTCGACGACCTCCGTTCGGCAGCGCGGTGGATCTATGGGTGGAGGGGCAAATGGAACCCATCGAAACGTAATTAGGTTGCTTTTTCTCTAGCATATTTTTTTTTGGCAAGTGCATACGAAATGGAGGAAGAAGCCCTAGCATTGCGTTTTTATTATCATCAGTGATACTTTATGTGTTGGGTTTTACATCTGGTAGCGCCGGAACCCGTCACCTTCGGACCTAGAGCACAACGCGTCCCGAAATTACCAGACGTTATCTACTAAGCTATCGCGGAAATGATTTCTAATACTAGCATTACGTATCTGATTGAGTCTCACACTGAATGCGTAGTTCGACGTCGTTGCTCCGCATACTGCCTAAGGAGTTCGAGACATCGCAGTTCAAGCGACCGTTGAGTTTAACTGCGGACACATTGCGAAGAGCGAGATAGGTGCCCTAGAAAAGCCAGAACAGATTGGGTCGCGTTAAAACTGACACATTATCGGACTGAATAGCCTTCGACAGCGCACGGCTCCAAGTAACAAGGTCATTGTAAATGCTGGACTGCAAATTCACACAAAACTCAATCAATTAGATCTCGAGTGACAAATCTAGAGCAAATTAGACATTATCAGTTTAGCTTTAAAGCCTTTCATTTCGGTCGCATGTGGGTCGATGGTGAGAAAAACCACAGTTCGTTTACACAGTGAGTCATAACAGCTTTACAAATCGCTCTCGATAATCTACGCGTTTGTTTACGAAAATCGCCAACGTTGCATCCCTAATGACAGCCTCCTTCGGTAGAAATCTACTGTTGATCTCTGCGCTCTGCTTTCTATAGCACCCACGTGTCGAGGCTGAAGCTCTCCACGTAGTCACGCAGAGACCACGAACTCCATCTATAATAAGATAAACGAATAGTCATGGTTGAGCTGCGTGATTTTTTTCTACGACAGCCAACCATCTGTTCAAGTCGCCCCTTTCTTAAGAAGTCTCGAACGACACAACCTGTCAAATAGCTGAAACCTAGCCCTGGGACACGTATCAGGCTGTTGCTATCCTTGCAACCTATGCACGCGACTGTGTCTAGTTAACGAGAGCTACCGTAGGCAGGGGCATCTGTCTGTATGTTTAAACATTGTTAACGAACCTGTGTGTGCCTAAATGCAGCCATTATGTGCACCAACTATCAAGTAAAGACTAACTTGAAGCACTAGTGGAACAATTATCGCTTCGAACGAATACTGTTCCTTCTAATAGGTTTTATCTTCACTTGGCCGCATGTCCCGTTCCAATAAAATCGTGTGAGATCACTTACGGATTAGCGAATTTACTGTCCGCAACTGTCTATAAGGCCTATATCTAATATGGAGCTCTGTTCACATGTGCGTCAGGCAACGTTGAAATGTCGTCTTGAGGTAAAGCACCATAATGGTCTAGTGGATGCATTCGTGTCCACAGCAACTTGGCCTATCCGACTTCCGTTCTGTGACTCGCAGTATCAACCATATCTCATGGGGCAATTCGGAAGAGATCAGCTCAGAACGATAAGTAAGTATGTCTTTAACTAAAGGCGAATAAATGAGCAGAGGGTGCAGAAGGTAGGGGAATGCGTGTTATACGTAAATAGGAAGTTAGCTTAAGTGAGGCCGATACGAAAAAGGGATGCATTGCTTGAGCAGGATAGTTGAAAAACCAACGTATAGGGAGGCTGGGAACAAGTTGACGGAAGCCCCTGAAATCCGGCGACCTAACCCGCCGATCTGGTCAGTTTTGTGTACTAGCGATTTGATGAATTGTGATCTGTGAATGCTACAGAAACATCACTATTTCGCCACAATCTGTACATAGATACGATGAATCACTGTTACTTTACCGAACTTTGTTTGAAACTAACATAACACATTTCAAGGGATTATATATGTGGACTAGTTTGTAGCACCTTTGATACTCGACATACGAAACATGTTACCATGACACAAAAACTGTTAGAAATTCAAAAAAAAGGCTATGGGTTAGAATGCTGTATGAAGCTGTGGAAGCTATTTATTGTTGTGGAAGCGTACATTGCTAAAATGTTACTTGTGTAGAAATCTATTACATATTGTGCGCTGTCAAGATCTCTTTTCAATGGGCCTCTTTTTATATTTCTTATAATATTTTACGGTTTCTCCTGCTTTCGACGCCGTTTAGACATGGCCTACTTTGGACGATGCCGAAAGAAATCAATATATATGATACAATAAAAATTCTACCATATTTCGGATCATTGCTATTTGCTTACTTTACAATTATAAGTCGCATACTTTTGTCCCCTTTGTTATTGCGACAGGGCTCAGAAGACGACAGAAGTTGCGACAGAAAACTTGAAGCAGTATAGCCCGATACCATAAGCGATTGCCCTCTTCCCAAAGGGATGTTCGCGTGATTCCTACAACATCCCACCAGGACGCAACAAATTACCACGGTCGACATCTTCCCATAACAAGGCTGTATTGATTTGATTCAACGGCTGGTGTATTACGTTAACAGTTGTCTCCCAGTTCTTAAAAAGGACAAGCTTACAATAATTATCTTATTATAATTCGCTTTATTATCCGCTCCTGTTATATATTCGATATTGACACAAAACATAATTGAATGAATAAGATATCTGTTTTGATCACCGCAACCTTCATGAAGAGTTGGATGTTGGCTATACGACAAAATAGCCACTACCACGATACGCTATGTACTAATATAAACTAAAGAATCATAAAGAACTACTCGATTTTGGTAAATGATAACCGAGTATGATAAGAGCGCAGTTTTTTACGATAATAGTGTTATTCGCACCCCAACCCGCTCATCATGCCCTGCCTATCACGCCCCATTTTCACGCCGTCATTCTACAGCTTAATAATTAAATTAAGAAATTATACCTGAAACGTAAAATGCGCTAGCAAAAAAAAAGGGGTACCAATTCGCGAGGCTGTACTTCGGTCAATACTCTCTCTCTCGTTGCCAGTGAGGTCCCCTATTGACATTAGTTATCTTATCGATAATAGGACACATCGAGCTGAAAAGGGCAGATGCTTTTTCTATGGTGGGAATCCGAGTAGGTGTAGTTGCCCCATCTTGTTAATAGTTGTTAAGAGCGGTTTAACTCATGTCGAGGTAAACGTAATTTCATTGCACAAAAAAAAGAGCTCGCGCAAGCCCTTGACCTACACAAAACCTAGTAGTGAATTTTATAGAAATTGTTTTGTCGATCTCGATCCTAAGTGCCATAATTTTGGTCAAGAAGAACCCAACACTTCTGGCCAAATCTACCGATGATGATGGTACTGATCGCAGTTATAGAAGTTACCCACATGCCTAGATTTAAAACATACTGCCCTCATATGTACACCGTAATAGAAAATAACAAAAACGACTGTAATATGATGCGATTCTATAGAAAAACCATATGGCCCATAGACAAATAGAACGGACGTGGCTAGTGAATCCTCAGAATGGATGGGCTGTTTAATGGCACCTGATTGATTATCAGCACGAATACTGCCTTAATGAAGAATCGGGGAGGTTCTTCTTTTCTTAATTAGATCGAACGCGTATAAAACGGAATTGTGAACATAATAAAGGCAATAGCACATACTTAGCTTAATGCTAATTATAAGATGACAATTGTGCCGTGTGGTCTTTACGTGTTGTAAACGTATACGTATCGATAATGATGCAAACGTCAATAATTTTCTTAATTCGTGGCAATGTACAATTCACGTTTATTTCTACTGAACGCCAAAAGGGATATATTTTTTATGCTTCTTACTAGATACGACATTCTGAGGTTTTGGACCTACAGATATGGCCTATAGGGTTGAGTTTCGTAAGAACTTGCATATAGGAAGATAACAAAGAGTTTGCTCTAGAACTCGCTTACTTTGTAAGGTTGCACCATGGACGGAAATGCAAAAATACAAAAAGTCGGAGTACAATTTCTCTCTTGTGACCGCTGGTCAAACCGCTTCACAGAGTTCCTTTTCTCTTCTGACAATCGGTAAGCTTATCGCAGAGGTTCCGTTCCTCTCTGGATAACGAAAACAGAAAATCCCCATTACTTACATTGGGGGAAATAACGGATAGAACGGACTCTACCTAGTGATAGTATATGTGCATAAAGCAGAGGCTATCTCCAGCTTCCGGCAGTTATAGTCGTGGGCTTTGTCGTGATACGTAATTTGTTCAAGGTTAGGGCTACCTTCAGAAAGAATACCAGCGTTAACATAAGGTGGGCTAACATTGAACCTGTTTCATGTAGGATGACACTGGACAGTGGCAAACGCCGACATGATAGTGAATCTATTTGTATCATTGCTGGTAAGAGCATGGTCTAGAGATGCACAGTGTTCGCTCATGTTGATAGTCCGTTTAGCCTCTATGTGTTATAGGAGCTTTCGTTTGCTACACTATGTCTTTTAGTGATTCGGGTTTAAAATTACGAAACCAATATAAAGAGGGTGAAAAATTATGTTATAAAAACAGGACTTCCTTGCTCATTCGGTACATGAGCAATTTTGAGTTTTCCCTATGAGATTAAGTACATCGAAGTACTTATTCAATGTAGCGTTCTACGATCCTCCCAAGTGAAGCTACGAACGTACATTATATTTTTGTACAAAAAATAAGATTAGTAAGATTTGTACACTGCTGAATTCCTATACTTTACTTGGTATATGGTTTATATATATATATATATATATATATATATATACCAAGTAAAGTTTAAATAAACAGGTGTCTTCAAGGCCTGTCGAAAACGCACTTGGGTCCCTTGAAGACGACACTTATTCTGAAAGGCGTGTGATAGCGTTTACGGGCGAGAACGTGGCGCTCCTCATGGCTCTCTTCGAGCAGTAGAGATCCTTCATTATGAGTTCCCGCCATCCAGCTCCACAGTCACCAAGCAATATCATCGAGAAGCTTTAAGAAGACTGAGCTAGTCTGCTCGACGCAAAACATCTGAATTGTGACGCTAGCCCACACTTCACGAATCGCACAGCGATTGTTGCTGAAGAAACCTAACGTGTACGTTGTCCGAACCCTCGTGTTCGTTAAACTTAGCCCCCTACGAATTTTTCCTACTTGTTGAACTAGAGGAACGCCTGGACGGAGGGCGTTTCGACATGATCGAAAGAGAATCGCTGGCCGCGGTGAGAATCGCGGTGCCAGCGATCAAATTTGTGTGTTGTGTCCGGTGGAGATTACTTCGCAAAGGACAACTTGAAATTAAACGATTAAATAAATACGTATTAATCTGGAACAAACGACTCATCCATTTGTGGAAAAAGGGCTATGTAGAGGAAATAAACAAATCAAGAATCCTAAAGGTTATCCTGCATACATATGCGCTGTTCCTGACCTACGAACGCTTTTTCGATATCTATGCTAGTCTGCACTGGAACCTGTTTGAAATCCGTTTAGTGACTATCGTACCAGCGTTATGGATTCTAGAACTTCTTCATCAGCCTGACCCTACTACACGTTCCATGCGGTATGAAATGCATCTAACCTGCAAGACAATGTCCGGATCTTGGGGAAGTTCCCGGTCGTTGAGCGTCCACCGGATGTGATTGAGGGGCGGGTTGGCAGATACTAAGCATTCGAAATAGACGTCACTGCCCTCAACCAAGCGGGACAGTGATAGTCCTTCACCTAAAGACAGACTTACGATTGGGGGATCTACAAAAGAAATCGCATAGCCAGAGCAGTAAAAAGAAAACCGAACTATTAGCTTGGTTTTCAAGAAAATCATTTTGTCTTATTACTCTACACGTCCACGTAAATACAAATGGGAAATAATTAAAACGTTTGTTTAGCTATCAAAAACCTCTAAGCATTTCAGGTAACTATAATTAGTCCCGGTAATAGGATAGTGGGTAACGTATTTGCGTGTCAATATCAGAGACATGTTGTGGTCTAGGCTCGAATCCGGACAGAGACAGGCTTTTCGTTTCGTGCTGAGAGCAGGCTATCTGATAAAATACCTAACGACTCTACCGGACGACTAAATGTCGAAACGTAAAGCCAATTATAATTAGGAAATTTTCCGCAATGCAAACAGTGTAGTATTACGATGAACGCAATTAGCATCTAAAACGTGTTAAAATATCATTGCGTTTATTACGTCAATAAACGGCAGCGTACGCACTAATTAATTCGCATAATCCATATGAGAACAATTCGAGAGGTCTTTTGGGTAGTCAGCTTTGTCATCTATTAAAAGAGCCGATACCCGATAATCCCGCGCGAGGCAATGCCATAGATTTGCACAGGGTATATCAATTGCGACTTCGCAATCACACGAATCCTCCCTACAATTGTACGAGAGAGAGAGAGAGAGAGAGAGAGGGGAGATGGGGGTTGATACTCACGAAGAACGTTGAGTAAAACAGAGTCCTCCCATGTACTTCCCGGCAACTGATGGTTGCTAGCACGGCAGATTAGCTTTTGTCCATTTTCCTGAGGACTCATATGCAAAAGTAGTGTCGATATCGTTGTGTTACCTGACGAGGACAAAAGAATAATTATAGCAAAAATGATAGTTAAACTAGTATGTAGGTATGTGATTAGTGAAAATTTGCTGCTAACCAATAGAGAAACACAAAGAAGTCTTGTCTGTTCGCTTTTCTATATATTTCTATACTGTCTGAAGAAACAGCCCGAATTTAATTCACGTACTATGATTAACGCACGATCTATACAACATCTGAGCGGGATTTCCTATTTGGACGTCCGATAACGGCTAGGGACGCTAACAGGGACACCTTAGATTCATTAAATAACTTGTAGTAGGTAGTGTCGTTCAGTAAGCCCGTTCTAAATACGACGTCTTTTAACTTGCGCAAAGCAGGCCAACGTTCCGTAGCGATTACCGCACTTGGACATGGGCACGATTTTTGCACGATGTCGCTCAAAGGAAATGTCACTGCGATACATGCTAACTTAATAAAGATAATTAGTAACCTCTAGGCGTAACTCAGATTGTTTTTAAATGGTCACATAATACTGTGTTAGCTAAATTATACACATACACATATATTTATGACTTTTCTGAGGAGTATTAGCGTAGTACGAGCATTTAGCTTACACACTTTGCCGGATGCTATTTCTAATTAATGTCTTCAACGTATTATTTGATTAAAAATGCCCACTTAATCAGACCAGTTTTGTGCGAACGTTTTTACGAGGGGCATTATTTACGCTTGACGAGCTTAGTTGTCTCCTATTGTCGTCGTTCACTGAGCACGCAACCGATGAATGGAACTAGGTCGTTTATCTAAGCGATGTCAGACCTATTCATATATGCCCAAAACATATCGCACCCCGATTTATTACTAGGTGTGCTAGGTTTTTGTGTATGTGTATGAACGTATGCGTTTTACCTAATAGGAATTTTATTAGATATTCACGGAATGTCAGCTGATCCCAGTTAGAAACGCGGTGCTGACGCGTTCGCGTCTTCCAGTGCAATTTGTTAACATCACAATAGTCGAATGTTTGCGCCCAATTCGCATACATTTATACATTGTAGTATATGGATGTAGGCCCATCCGGTCATTGCCTATCTACCGAGCCCTTTGCTTAGCCCTAAGACGTTGGCCGTTATTTAGACGAACGGAGCCGTACAATAATCGAACATCCATAAAACTCTTACGCTAACGGTGAACTATTTTGGGCCATTGTACCCAATCCAATCGGCATAACTAAACCAAGCTGCCGATCAAGAGAAACGCTACATAAACAGACACATATTAGCTGTTACATTGGCTAGTGTTTAAATCGCACATCTTTACTACAGCATCAACTTTAGCTGGGAAAAAATACGTTTTCTTGTTTAAAAGCTCTTAGCATAACAAAGTGCTTCGAGTTCTTTGTTTCGAAGTGCTACTGCGTTGGATACCTCGGCTCCTACGGAGACCTAGCTCGGAGTTGTACGACTTCGGATAACGCCGAAGGCACTCGCCAAACATTAAGCAATTTGTGTATTTCAAATACAATCTAAATAAGATTTCCATATTATCTTATCGATCTTCTAGAAAATGTATGTAACATAGAGTGAACATAATTTTGTCAAATAAATTAGATAAAATACAACAGTGTACAGCAGATGAGCTTAACTACTCTGTAAAAACATTGAACATTTTGAGGTTTCGATAACAATAAAACATAACACAATGTGAGACCAATCCCTCGTTCCACTCTTGTGCCGGATTGCGGGTAACGACTAGCTAGCATTTTCATAGATAGGCTCGCGTAAGGTAATGGAATTTCAGTAATATAGAGCTCGGGTCTTTTGCAGCTTTTTGGTTGTTTACAGCTCCGAATTGTTATTACCTAAAATGACAGTCGACACCTTATGCTATTCAAGCGTATGGCATGCAAGGCAAAATCAAAGATTTCCGCAGCAGGACCCTTTTAGTTGAAGTCACTGTCTCATAATAGTGTTCCAAAATAACAATAATCATAATAGAACAACTCCTGCCAAGATGATCATACGTACCGTCGTCATCAGTGCTAATATCATTGAAGAACGATTCGATCTTCCTCGAAGTGAGGATCCACGTCACGACTGGGAAAGGCCTCGATCCACTAACGCGACATCGAAACTCAGCTGAAGCTCCTGCGTCGTAGCGGGAACCACTGTGCTCTACTTCGACTGACAGCGGCGGTACTGCAAGCAAAAACAATACTTTATATACATATACAAATGTTACTTCCATGTTTCTACTAGCCAAAACACCGAAGTCGAGTATTTGTTTCCTTTCAACAACTACTCAAAATATATTTACATGTTTAATAATGAAGGTGACTACCAATACGAGTTTCTGGGCGACCCACATTTGACAAGGGTATTAGAAAATAGCTTTGAAAAAATAAAAGAGTTCGATTATATATGTTATCGTATATTCTCCAATTAAGGATATTTTAGGCAAGTAAAAAAGAATCAAATAATTAATTAATCTTTTTGAAATAGCCGCTCACTGACACAATCGAAAGCCCGTTTTATACTTTGTTGTTAAGTAAACTCTTTGAGCGATCACTTCTCGAAGAGTAGCTCTTAGTTTTTTTTTTCGTTCAATTAAACACGGTCAAAACAAGCTAACTTGGAAGACATTTCATAGTTTCGTATGCAATCTAAGATACACAAATGTCAATCACATACTTTAAAGTTGTCTGTAAAGTTTACGACGTTCCATGAAAATTATATTCATGGTATAGCAGATTGTCGTTTCCCAAGTTCGTGGAGTAAAGGCAACGAGACGCTATTGTATGCATCGATTTCAGTATGGCTAGATCCACCGTCAAACCGGAACGGCTGTTCTATTATGAGTGTGTTAAGCAAACTACGAAAAAAGCCAAACACCCTGAAGAGGCCAAAACGATATCTTACACTATGTTCGTTTGAACGACTCTATTTGCCATAATTCTCTACTTTCGGAAATAATTAGTGTGGGAACGAATAGCGGCCTTAGAGATCAATGTATAGGCCGCAAATTATAGACAGAGGTGGAATAACTTGTGTCTGAGGGCGGAGCAATAGACACAACGATCCCTCGTTAGTTCAAGAATTCCCCATTACTGCATTAGAGGTGTTCCGGGTCAAAAAATTGGCTTATTAGCGAACAATTGCTACGGCCAGCCGGCTGGACCGCAGTCACCTCGAGTGGCCTGTTTGTACAAGTACGAAGAACGTGCACACAACATATAGACCGTGGTAGCACAAGATTTCGTCTTGCTATCCTTTACAAAATATTCAGTGACCGTCACGGAGGTAACCGTATCAATACGCAGTGTACGACTAGTGGAACTTTCCGTTTGTGTGAGCTTCTAATTCATTTCGGGCTACACAGCAAGACACTAACTATATTTTTCCCGTATACGGCCTATTCATTACGGTCTACGGAATAGATCAGATCTTTTAGCACAATTGTAATTGCCGAGGCAATTGCACAGGCCGAGCAAAGAGGACGAAAAAAAATACGCTCGTGAAAAAGGGCTATGAACAGAAAGGGCATTCAGCGCGAAGACGTATAAACGTGAATTTGATAAAATTTACTTCTACCCTTAAAAACGACATAAATACGTTAAATATAGTCATATTACATACTTTTAAAAGACTGCTCCCATAAAGGGAGGCCGTACGGTTCTGCCTTTGATTTTAATTAAGTGAGGATAGAACATAGGCAATATCTTTTGGTACGAAATTAGTACTTCATTATTTGAAACTAATCATTACATAGCATTAAGGCCGGATTGATTAGGCGAGGCCTACGAATTGAATACGACACGCGTGCGTGACCTGTTTCCATAAGATCTCGAACAGGACCGCGCGCATGACAATAAAATGGCATATGCCTTAATAATACTAGGCGCTCATTCTGGACTACTTCATCTGATTTGGATTTCAAAAGGTTGTGAAGTGTCGGTAGTATGATATGTATTAACGATAGCTCCAACAAGTAGGTCTATTCATTGGTGAGATAGTGATCGGTGAGGTTGCACCTGACGTTTGCCAAAAAGGGCAGTACAGGAAAGCTTAGAGGATCGCCTGGCTAAATTTTATGACTAAACGGGAGATCTAAAGACTGGAAAAGCGAGATCATTAATTGTGGAAAAGTATGCTATTGTTCATTCTCATACATCCTTACTAGATCTGCTTCCATGCCTGTGTGCAACTCTGACAGAAGCTGGGTGATGTGATGCCCCTTTTGAGTTTTGGGGAATTTATGAAGCCTTCGCCAAGAGCCAAGATTAGTAACAAAACGTTGTTATTACTGTTATATAGCTTGCAAGGGTATGCAGTATATACAAACGACTACACGTCTTAAATAGACAAATAGCGATCTCCTACTATTTAGTCTGTCTTATCGATTCTTTTGCCAACCAAGTGTGATACGCCGCAAATCGAAAGCCTTCATTTTGCTTGGTCTCTGTGTTGGCTTAATTCAGTTTGTACTATCTTTTCTCGTCTATTTATCACATGGCGTTGCATTGTCTGCTACACATTTCAGTAGTCTGCATCTAGTCGATCTGTTTAAGATTAACTACTAAATACGTAACTGTGATACTCGAACGTTATTGCAGCAGTCGTGTTTGGCTTCCTGCTTGGAAACAAATCGATTTTTCGAGTAGGACATAGTCAGCAACTCTAGCATTGTGAGGAGAGTGTAAGCTTTTTCGATGTCTATTCTAGTTCCCAAACGATCCTTCTTATACCTTGCCTGGCTCGACTAAGCAACAGGCCTTTCAGGGCTCCGCGGTGCGATCAGACTGCATGACTCGTTCTCTTGACGCGCTAAGCTCGAAACAACCATGGTGCCAGAATAACAGAACAAGCGGTGGCCGCATTACTAGCAGCGACAAGAGCAAACGAACAATATCGAATAGAAAAAAATACCACCAAGATTTGGATAGCGGCTTCGGCCATGTCAGTCGTATGCCCAAGAGACAAACGTGGAATCGGGTCGGGATCATTGGGATCATGGCTTCTGGCCAATAGGGGACGCGTTCGTGGTATCATTCCGCTCGCTTTGAAGTGATCCTTCAACCCGACTGCGCTTCCTCCAGAAAGAAACTTGATTGGCGAGTGCGCTACGCGTCTATGGGCCCTATGCGTATTCGCGTATGGTTACGTGCACTCGACTAGATTGGGACACGTAGCTCCCAGTGTGTCTACTGTAGCCGTCTTAGGTGTTACTTTCGTGCTGTTCGCTTGAATTTGCTGCTATTACAAAGCCGTATAGGCGGATTGATGGAACGACGAGGCAAGTATTGTATACGGCTGGAAATTTCCGTTAAGCATTGACCCACGCATCATCCAGGCGTGGCTACCATCCAACATATAGCTATGTGCTAATTTTTTTAATGAAAAATGCCCGCCTAGATATGCAGAAGGAAGTACGAAGGCATTACGGTGACATGGGGAGCATTAGAGGGGCCACAAGAGGGTATAACGTATGACCCTCATTAAATTAGGTTTAGGAGTTAAACGGTTCTACAGATTGAGAAATGGCGTTTTTAAGAGCTGGCAAATGTTTGCTTTGTTGCTGTCTTGTGAATCCACTCTGAAAATAGATAGCATGAACAAAGCCAGATGAAAAGGATAAACGCTAGATTATTAAAACAAACGTCAGTTTAACTTGGACGCCCCTCTTTTATAAACACAAAACAACATTTCATAATGCGCAGTTCAAATCTTCCATCAGCGATAAATGTTCGCCATATTCTTAAAGATTAAATAGTGAAGTAACCGGCACTTCGGCGTTAATATTAGAAGGGAACATTGTTTTTCACCGTCTCACCCTCTTACATCAAACATTCACACCCATATAAACATTTAGGACATCTAGAAAGGTGTGGCAAGGGCCGTCGGTACTCGAAGAGTCGGTCTCCCATTGTACGACCCAAATAAATTTTCGGGCCAGCATTTGGACTTATGGCCGTTAGGGTTTGGATGGCAAATTATGATGTTGTTTCGGCATCACTTTGTTATACATACGATACCGATTTGCATCGTTTGGCCTGCACAGGGAATATCTAGCTCGTATGAAGTATACGAGTCGAATACGCACTATGATATGACCCCGAAAATCGTGGTGTACATAGTCATCATTGTATCTCTGTACAGTGTTTCTATGTAATTTCATGGTAATTTATTCCACATTGGAATTGACTGAGATCGGTAGATCCGGTTTTCGTCCTGATTGAGTTGTTATTAGTGCCGATCGGTATGCATCAGAGCTCTGAGCTATTACGCTAAACTGAATTGTGACGATGTACAAGCGGCCAACATATTTAGAGCCGTCGCTACGTATTTAGAGACCATACGTACATGCATTTACTTATAATAATGTTATCTTCACTAAATAACATCTATGAGTAATGTTATTTTTTAGAAACGATTTTATGGAACGAGCCGTTTTTTTTTTCTTTTAACGGCTCGTTTCATAGAAGTCTGCAAAAACGGTCAATATATATATATATATATATATATATGAAGATGTAACCACTATTTTGATTTATAAAGATAACATAGACTTTCGCCGATGGTCCGTAAGCGTCCATTGACCTTAGAACGTAACGCGACACGTTCCGCTTCGTGTACCTTAAAGGTGGAATAAATTGTTGTGATGACAATAAATTGATTAGAGCGTTAGTTACGCTGTTAGTACGATAGTGGTTATCTTTTATAGACTGCTCTGTTCAGTCCTGAGTTGTTGAGTTAACACAGCAATGGAAATACTCACAGATGAGATCGATGGTAACAGATGCCACCTGAGGTTTGTCAGAAATCTGGTTCGAAGCCTCACAGCTGAAGGTTACCCGAAATTCGTCTCTGGTTAAGCGGCCGATGTCGAGAACGCTCCAATAAACTATTGCTCGAGTACTATTCGAAAACAGTTGCTTTTTCGGATAGATCGTGTAGCGTCCCCCGTTAACAAGTTCAACGCCATTCCGACGCCACACAACTTTGGGTGATGGTTCACCTAGCAGATAAGCAAATATACGTAAGCATTACCGGAGTTTTGCTAGGTAAGAATTCTAATTTAATGTAAATACCAGCGAAATTTATGCTACTGATAAGCGTGTCCAGGAGAAGTGTTACGTACTGGACTGTACAAGGAATAGGTGTTTTGAAAATGAGAAAAAAAAAATACTGACTTTCGTTATGCTGATAGGGTGATCATATTGGAGCTATATATAAGAAGCATTGATCAAAAGCCTGAAGCATTATTGGTCATAGCGTCACGACATTTTGAGAAATACTCGTCTATCTAGCACTAGAACGCTTCATTCGTTCGTTCGTTCGCTGATTCGTTCAAGGTACGAGGGTGGTTATTTCCAAGCGGTCATGTCCACGCTTTGAAAGGTCCTGCATATGGCATCCCTTATCAAGTTATTAGTCGATTTTCTTCTTGCAACGAGTTTTTTTTGCATAGTTTATCCGGTACAATGTCTGCATACACGTATTCAAAATGATTCATTGAACAACAACAAAATGTTTTGTTGTTAACCATTAATCTTGTTATATCATTGGAACGCCTATCATTGGTCTTAGCAAGGCTTATAATAGGGAGGCTTACGACATAGTCATCGTATTCCTACATTTTTTTTTTAAACTATATGAAAAATAGGTCAATGGGAATTTTGCTTCAGAAACATGAGTATTATAACCTCAAATATGTAGTTTATGATAATGTGGTGTATAACGGCCATCAGAACTGTGGATCGGTTTTCGAAAATAGCCAACATTAAACCATTTGCAGGTAATATTAGGTTAACACATAGAGACTGCGGTTGTGATGAGATGAAGAGTTCCGCTCATTAATACGGTATCTTGGTATCCATGGTCGGCGGTATCTATAATCGTGGCGAGATAAACTTCCGATTGTATAGGTCCAATCATTTTATCAAACCTGGATACTCAATCATTCGAGTATTATGGATAGCATGGAAAGTCAACTTTTGGGAAAAGCTTATCAATATGCGAATACTGTAATAAAAACCAGATGCCGGTACCCGAAAGACAAAAACGCAGAGCCCGAACCGAAGGATCATCTTCTTGAAAACACAGCTTAGAGTGTAAAGGCGCTATCGGCCAGAGTTTGCGCTGCTTCACTGAAAATACGGAAACTATGTAAAAAATGTATCCCCAGTGAATTAACTCCTATCCAGTTGAAAATGTTTGTGCTGTATTCGGCGCGCGACTCTCAACTAGAAATTTCCTTCGGGCGTACGGTAGCTGAAGACGAAGAATTTCTACGAAAGAAGAACATTTGCCCCATAGGAAAATCGACTTCGGACCATTTGTTATGACCAAATATGCTCCGAAAATCAAACAACGAATACAACACGCTATCCTCAAGAAATTCGAGGAATGTTGGCCTGGCAATCGGAAGCACGCAATCTTGTTACTTGATAACGATGCCAGATTTCATCGCGTACCTTGATTACTTTCGGAACCGACTAAAGAAATACCTAACGTTGGCCTAAGTTAATGCTATTACGGAGCTTTCCATGCCTTAAAAAAGACCACCAAAAATATTACACCACGTGTTTACTGCGAGAAATCATAGATGGAGAACTTACGTATGGGAGCGCGAATTGTAGGCTAACTATCCGGAAACTCCAGAACGCTGGAGAGAGTTCGTGCATATATACCTCTAGCGTATAATAAAAGATCGTCGCTTTCACCTGGCTAGATTAAATATAATTAACTTTTAAATTCCTCCCGACTCGCTTCTAACAACCTAGTAAAAACGGGTAAATCGTTAATTGCAAACAAAAACGGCACCCTACGACGCATACAAATAGAGCCTATGTAACATATTTCTGTAGTCATAGGTTAACAACACCAGTAAGTTAATGTCAAGGCCGAGTTGTTGCATCATGAGGCAATGTTGAGGAACTATCTAAAGGAAACAAAGGAAGACGAGAATCTTGAAAGTGACCGAGTATATGATAGAAAGCGATTCCAATAAGAACTGTGCGTGAGGCTAGATGTAGGCTCCATTCCATTATTATCAATCTCCTCTAGCACGCCGTTCAAGTCCATTGTGGCTATGCACTCTTTCAGGTACAGCAAAAAAGGTCAAGGCCAAATTTACGACAGTTCTAGCGGTTACCTTTCTCGATGACGCAATTTAGTCGTAAGCTATGTCCAACGTAGAAGGGTCCGATACTTCCCTGTAGAATAGTTCCGTCACCATCGCTAATCTGAGGTCTGGAAGGGGACACTGAATTGGCAAACAACGAATAAGGATCAAATTAACGTCTAAGGATAAATACCACTGAAATATGAAATAGTAATACTATACTATTGTCACGTAAGCGGTTAGCCAAAGCGGTAATTTCTAATTGTCGTTGTGACAAAAAGGAAACGCAATAGCATAGAGAAAAAAATACAATGTAATAAGTAATTACTGTATTGTTAACACCTCGAAACCACCTAATAGAATTAGAAAATATTTTATAGTCAGAATTTTGGGCGCAGTTGACTGGATACATTATCTAGGTACAGGTTTCTTCTTCATTTGGTTTCTATGTGGAAGACGGTGTTCTCCATTGCAACAGAATATGTATCTTCTGATTAACAAGATTCGAAACTTCTTTATTCCCGTTCTGCTTAGACCCCGTTATATTCTCAATTCCTGTCTAGGAACATCCCACTACCGATTGACCAAACAGTGAGAGACATGGTTCTATGGGTACTAGCGGAAAATGCTCCTGCCGCTGCCAACTATGTTGATTAGGCAATCGTATTCGGCAATACTGAATTTTTCTGAAAGCTGCCTTTTTTTAATAGCGACAGTATGAGGTCTAAAATTTGTGGACTTCTCTGAACTGCTCGGTGGGCGGTATGAACGCTTCGTCTCAAAAAACCTTTACATTTTCGGATCTGGGATATCGACATTATAGAAGGGCAACATAGCAAATCGCCAATCGAGGGAATCGCCAGAAAACTATTATCTCGCGCAGTTAACTTCATATTAGAAACAAAACAGACAAAAAAGATTTGTGAAGCATTTTTTCTATTCCACGATAAAGTAATATTATAAACTCTTCAGTCTGTGATGTATTCACCGCCTTTTTGGAAATAAAGGTGTTTTTCAATCAAGTTTATTCATTAATATATATATAAGGTTGGGTTTACCTATCGATATTTTTAGATATGTTCCTGCTGTGAAGGCCATATCCGAAATTTCTAGAAGTCCTACATTATATACATAGTGCGTACAGGCTAGTCTCTTCAATTGTTATATCATTCTTCTTCTACAAGCACGTTTAAAGCCCTTTCTTTTAAGAGCCTTACTTTTCAGAGGCTACGATCTAGATATTAAGATATGGTCACGTATTGTTCCCACTGAATTTTATTGAGGAGTAAAGAAAAACCAATGAGATGATAAGGCTGTACGTTATGCTACTATACTAAACCTGAGACATATAAACACTCTAAAAATGCAAAAACACACTAAACGAACACGGCTTGTGTGTTCAAGGCACAGTTCAGTGAAGTCAGAGACCAAAGATCGTTAGCACGTCTAGCACTGCCAATTATTCAACGTGTTATACACGTATTTCCAGAACAAAACATATAACACAATTTCAGCAGCGTGGTGTATTAATTGGACATATTGTTCGTCAATTAGATTGAACCCTTAAATCAATACACAAAGGTAGCGTTTTTCAGGGCAGGAGCACAAATGGCTGTAAAAGCGCGTCATTGGAGAAAACGTTGGCCGCCGCCAGTTGACTTCATCCGTGTGGAAGGAACGAGCGAAAAATGCACCGGTTACTCAATGTCCACGAGGAACCGACACGGACTCCCAGCTCGCCAGCATCAGATACGTCCATGTGTCATCCTGCTTCCCGGCGCGCTAGCACCATTGCGAGCAATGGTTCCACTGCCTCCATCCTCCTATCATTTCCCATTGTATTGTCCCGAAATTCTCGAACTTTCACATGGTCTAGCGGTTGCTTGATATATAAGGTAAAATTTATCAGCTGCTCTAACTGCTATTCCTTACGAGGTCCTGTTTGGTCGGTTCGTTGGATTTGAATGCTCGAGGCTGGCGCCTGAAGCCGGCCGGGCAAGAAAAGCCTTAGGAGCGGCATCCACTGTCCTCGCCCCGCCGCGGTTTAGTAGCAACTGGCGGAGGCTAGAGCCTTGAGAAAATGAAGAATGAAAATGTTCCCAAGGCATAGGTTTAAATGGAGGTTTCCTTTCGCGAATGGATGACGCTTTCCCCATCCATTTTGCAGCCTCCATCTGCTATCAGATCGAGTGGCAGAAAAAGTCTTGATTTGAAAAGATATCGTATGTTTACGGATGCTCTGGTGGTGGTGGACGGGCCAGCATCCGCAAGCTAGCAGATCTTTGAAAAGTTTCTCATCGGGAAAGCATCTTATTACTAACGCAATTATTTCCGGAGCCGTTAAGCATGGTATCACCCACGAAAAAATGGGTAAATCAAGGAGTCCACGTGGCCTTGCCGCGTTTGCCGGTTCCCCTGTTTATCTCCTAGCCAGCAGATCTAGCTTCGCTCACACGATCTGTTCCGTTCGGTTATCTCGTCTACGAATTAATTAAAATCTATTCGCCAAACGCACTAGTTATCCGATTTAAGGGGTCTGTGTCACTTAAGGGTGTCCGACACTAAAAGGCGGAGATGGTGCCATCAACAGCGACAGATTCAGCGGGGGCGGCACTAGAGCTTTCATTTTAGAGGTCTTACTTAAGACGACTAAGGCAGGCTGAAAGAAACGAAGAGAAGCAAAGCTAGGAGCAGGAAGAAGAAGTGAGAAAAGCAAACCGTTAAAGAATCGGTAGCTGTCGCAAGAGCAGTCGCAGCTATATTCATTGCTATAGTCAAAGGGGCTCTCTTTCACCGCTCATAAAGAAATCTCACTGATTTTTCTTTTTCTATTTTCATTGCAGAAAGGCAGTTGGAAAGGTACTGGAGGTGGTGAAGAAGAAGCGCTTTAGGAGACAGAAGGACGAGATGAGACCTGCAGTATAAAGCAGCCCAACTGTGGCGCACCGCCAAAGGGTAGTGGGTCTTTCTTGTAGATCGTCTTTCACGTGACTCAAATTTGCAAGGATTCCTTCATCCGCCCTGTCCATTCTGCGGGACAACCGTATCATCGTTCGCTAATTTGTGTTAAAAGAGCAACTCATCGATTTAGTGGAGACTGACAGGACAGCGCAGAGGCGGCCGTTATAGAATGACTGCGGATTCGTAGTTATGAAGGCCGAATGTCTGTCCACTCCCAATGTTCGCAAGCCGCAAGAAAAGCTATTCTAGATGAGTAGGTCTAAGGGACAGTTTACGTCGTCAATGGATCGAACGCTGCTCGACCGCATGATCACCAAACATATTGACCAAATCGATCGCTGTCAGTCACGCAAGCTTACATTGGCGTGACACAGTATATAAAAATACGATAATTAATTAATAGCTCTCGGTAAAATTCCGGCTTGTAGAATTGCGGTTTTACGAAGGAGGAAATGGTAACGCTGACAGGAAATTCAACCGACGGTTTATCTAAAACGCACTTAACCTGGCATAGGTATGTGCTAACTGAGTAATATCTCTTCATATAGTAGGCTCAATATAAAAAAAATGACTGCCTAAATATCGTATGATGTAGGACTACGTTTTTTACGTATGGACCATATCAGACTCAAGTCTGCACCTAAGACGAAATTAACAGGAATTAACGTGTTGAAGAGTTTTTTTTTAGTCTTGAAGCAATGTCATTAGTAAAGTTCTCGGTAAACGTCCATTAGATTCAAACCAGGCCACCAAATATAAGGGTGAATTAAAACTTGTGTGAAGAATTTTCGTAGTTCTATACAATGCACGGAGTTTAGTCTATCGTCATAAAAAACGAGACCTTTATAAAATAAAAAATCTCTTTACGAGCTTTTTTCGGTGGAGTCCATGATCGGACCGTTAAAAGGACAATACCAGATGCTAGAGACGTGTATACCTTGCCAGATAGAAAAACAGAATTCGTTGTATATATATATATATATATATGGACATCTGTGGACTTGCGTAAATCTATGTAAGTATCGTATAGATTAAATTTTAGTATAAAAAAGTCGATTTTTTACACGAACAGTAACCGGTGCGCCTTCAGAACGGAGAAAACAATTGTCGTATGAATTATTCAGTCATATAATTGGCAAAACGTTATAATTTTAAATATGTTTTTCGTTTCAAGTTCACGTGAAGGAATAATGACCTGTGTAAATGGCTTGTTAAATAGTGAGCGGGATAGTTAAGTTCGATTGTCTGAAACACATTTTGTCGTTAGAAACTATCCTACCCGACCTCTGGAATACAATTAATAGACTAGTGATTGCACGCCTTTAGCCAGTGAGCTATTCCTCTGAGTCTCAAAATACATGCCATCCGTACAGATGTGCTCAAATTCAAGCGGCATGGACGATTATTAGCTATTTCTGCCACACCCTTCGAGTACAACATGAATGCAAATACCTCTTTATAAAAATGGTGAGATTTTAGTCCATACGTACAGCAGGTTGACAGCCGAAGGCCGTACGGATCAACCTCAAACCTGCACTGGGTATAATTGCTGATGGCAAAAGGTTACTATCTGTATGGGGACATTGGCTAAGAGAAAATCGTAACGACGAACGGAAATAATTGGCCAATATTGCTGTTCTACTATTTCAGAGAGAGGTAAGATCGTAGCAGTAATAAATCTCTGTTGAACTATTGCTGTGTGTATCTCGGTTCATATCTATCAAAAACAGTGCAGCTTTGAAAAACCGATGTTTCTTTCATAATCTAAGATAATTTGCGAAAATGGCGCCGATTTTTGCTAGCTTGCGACGTTTGTCCACTGGTATGACTCGTGTCTATCTAACGACCCGTTTGACTAGTCTCTAAACGGTATCTGCATACCTAATCTAAGCGAATGTCTAATTAAAAAACAGTTTTCCTTACAGCAAGATATTGGTATCGCATAAACGTATCTACCTCCAACAAGAAGCGTAATGTTTTGCGTACGGGTTTCTCCTCTGTGAAATCGAACCCGGCACGCGTAGTGGCCTGCGTCGATGGCGTCAAGCTTCGATACCTCCAAACTCGCTGGGCTGCTCAGAGCTGCAATGAAAATTACAGGGCAGAGAAACGAACAGATAGCCGACTAATTAGATTTTCGCATCGCTGAAAAGAGTAAACTGCTGAACCTCTAACAAACAACAAATTAATATTAAGGCATCTTTAAATAGCCCTTAAACATGTACTGGTCGCGTGGGGTATTCGAAAAGCGTATATTTCCGATTCTAGATAAAATATTGTCGAGTAATTACGACGCGTTACGCGTTTTGATCTAGACATGTCTTAGTAATTATGACAGCGGGGTGAACTGATCGTTGAAGAAAGCTGTCCTATAAACGGGTACGCTTAAGGGAACAGACCTGAACGTTTATTTCCTTTTGGCAGCGCGTTGGCCAGTTAGCGTCAATACCTATTTGAGATAGTAAAATACAGCCACGCTAAGACCGAGTTAGGTGAAATATAGGTAATCAGCCTCTGTCGAGGGCAACTGATTTAATCGTTAGTTTAAAAGAGGCTCGTCTACTATCAAAAATGAAGCGCGGAAAAGAACAGCTACTGCGGCAGGATATTTGCGGATCATTCGTAAAATAATAATATAAAAATCGAGACATACGAAAGTTAAACAAAAGTTACCGACGCCCTAGCCAGTATGTTCTACTCGCTTTTGAACTAAAAATGAAATATTAGTTGTTATTATCACTATGAATACCATTATTTTTTACTCTCTTTTTTACTAACGAAGAAGAGGTGTACAGGTTGTTCCAAGGCCCTCAATAGGTTCAATTGCACACAAGCAGAAAGTGGACCCTTCTCGTTTAGTCAGTGCTAGTTAACTGGTATCTTAAGATTAGCCGGCGCAAGAGCTAAACATTTTCCATGACAGGCTGAAGCATTTCGCGGTCGATAGATTGAACATAGCTTTCAAATTTTTGCAATAATTGGGTGTGTATGTACATGTGTGCATTGATGTGAACCTTAGATAAATTTCACTTATTCCCACGCAAAGAAATCACAAGCTCTTGGATCACAGGAGGCAAAAACCACGAAAGATTTTCATTTTTCAAAATCAGCCGATTTACGGGGCGACTTTTTTCTACGAGCTTGCTGATTGTTTGTTTTTTCGTGCACATTTTTATTGCAGTTACGTAATCTCTATTTAAAAAAATGTTTAAAACATCTTTTTTTACCGAGAATCGAATTTGGCATAAGTCAACGGTCGAGATGATTTTTTAGGAATATTTAAGCTTTACGATCTAGTTTTTCTTTTTTTAGGATATTAGATTTGCATTGGAACGTTGAAACTTATGTTAACCGTTGTAGCTTGGCACGTTTAACAGAAATGTTTCAAGTTTTATGTTCGGAACCGCCGTCAAGTATTTCATCAGATAGCCATCAGATAATACGGAGTGTGTCTGAACCCGGTTTTGAAGCTCGATAATCGCTTGTTCATAAGATTAGCACACAAACATTTGACCTACCTACACCTAAGTGAAGCTCGAACCAAGATGGCGAATTAAGTATAGTAACAAACACTGAGATACGCGGTGATTGACATAGAGAACAGTACGAATAACGCAAGGCGGATGATAAGGTCACAGCTGTAGAATAATTATAGTCGATAATCGGGACAAGGCTACCGTAACGAATAGCGTTATACATATAGAATAAACGGGAAGCGATGGCTTCAATGGAAGGGAACAATCGAAAGTTCAAACCGGATCGTTCTAACAGGATGATGAAAATAACAACGAGTAGTGCAACAGAACTACTGAGACGAGCTTAAACAAAAAACAAGAAAGCACAGCCCGCGCAGGGCCACACTGGGAAAGGTTTACAGTTGTGTCGAATAAGGCCTATATTCGGTGCTAACCCGAGGTGACAAAAGTGAAACAATTCTTTAGTCCAAAATTGTCGTGCTCTCTATTGCTACACACCCGGTTTTATTATTACCATTATTATTTTTATTATAAAGGTGTTGTTAACCGAGCTGCACCGTTGAATTCTGACTTCATTTTCTGCGGTCAAAAACGCGTTAACTCTTTGAACTGGGATCCGTTTGATTTCCATGATGGAACAGCTATGGCCGTCGTAGTAGCGCTAACGTGAGATGGGGTATTAAGATGGGAAGCACAAATACGAAACGAGTTAATCAGCTTCGTCTACTGCTTAATAGGCCCATTATGTCAATGCTCGCAAACATGTTACTTTGTTTACGTGTGTAACACTAAAATGGTTACCCGGCAACGGCAGTATTTCCGTCAGGCCAGCGTCACTCAGGATTGTCAACGATAAACGGCAGAAAACTGTGGCCTTCGTTTGGATACTCTATAATGGCAACATATTGTACTAGACCAATCCGCTGGTCAAACAAGCAACTACTGGTTTTACTCTTTGAACGGCGGGCAAACGTCGATTAGCGCGAAAAGGCCTATATTACACAATAAGTCATGACGCTGGTTAATGCAAGGCCAGCCAATCCCGGTAGCGAGGCCTATTATCGTGTAGGATTCAATTATGCCTTTGGTATAGCGCCTTCTTTAGCAACCGAATCGAGAAAAAATAACTCGAAAGGGGACCCCTTCGTCCTTTCGTTTTTGGCTTCCATAGCAACGTAGCGTAGAACCGGTGCGACTCTGACCATTGCGAGTCTTCAATAGACATTGACGATAATTGTAGCTACTAAACAAAGTGTCCTGTCTGTATTGAGAAAGGAGTCGGCAGATTAGATAAAGGTATGAAACGACTAATTAAAGACTATTTCTTTGATATCAGTAATATTTATACGTTGATAGTTCGGGCGGCAGATCTCTGACTGAACGAAAAACTCCTAGTTTGAGCCCTGTGGCATTACATATTGATCTAAACTAAACACGCGTCTCTAACCGATTGCTTTTAGTTTCTTTCAGAAGTCAATGCGTTTTTTAGTTATGTACGAATGAAAAATATAAAATTTCTCAAATTTTAAGTGGCTTTAATTCGAGAACTAGATTATTCAATATTTCTATGATCGGGCTCCGTTACCGGGTTCGGATGGCACTGCGGGATACATGTCTACGCCGAAACGTTCCTATGCTTCGTGCTCGTAGATAAATTACATCTCAGTAAACTTATTTGCGTTTATCTTATTTGGTACGAGCTTGCCTAACTTACCACGTCTCTTCCCGGGTCCAGCTGTGTATCTTTTAGACGGCAATCTTTGAAGACCAGTCACGTCTTGCCTGTACTAATACATTTGCATAATACATAGTATAGTACGTATTAACTAGTTTTCGAACGAGAGCCATCAGGCGTTCTATATTATATAGATAATTTTCCCCGACGTCGTATAGGACGCACGAAAGTCACACGAACTGGAATGCTATACATTCCCTGTCATCGCATGGTACTAGACTCCATACAATTATTATTCCGTTGTTTATGAATCATGTGTACACATATGTAAAACAATAGTACTACACATAAGAATGTATGTAAGAAACTAATGTATTACACATAAAAAACCAGTATTAACACTATTAATACTGATTTTTAATTTGGTTCATATAATTCCACAACGAGCTTACATCGAACATTAGAATATAGGTGTAATTTTTCCAGCGATATTAGCAAACAGCGATGGGGTTTTGCCCAGTGCAAATTCATTACTATTGCCAGCTATATTGTTGGTAAGGGTACGATAAAATACGGTCAACAAATCACGCAAAAGTGTCGCTTACACACAGGAGAGCTCGTAGAAATGTATAGCTTCATCTCTGTTCCTTTACGCTCGCTATTTTCGGTGATGATTTTTGTAACTGTTCGACCCATCCGTGGCGACCATTCAAAAACACCCATTGAGCGCCCATCGAAAACCTACCCTCTGTTTGCTTTTGTCAGGAGTGAACACACGCCCGCACTGCTTCGTCTATTCGTTGGTCTGCCAACCTATCCACTTTTGTTTCTAGCCCATATACACACAAATAATATCGTACAGACATAAACGCTAGCTACAGATGGCCGTCGAACAGTCCAATCAAATTGTAAGCATAAACATATACGTATACGCATCCAAATAATATTGTTAATTGTATATCTAATGACGGAATCAGCTAAACTGCGATCATTTTATCTCTTTAGACGGAATGATATGCTCAGGAGCTGATAACAGTTAATGTGGCTGTTTCGAGATTTTTATGAACTTTCATGGGGTTTTTTTCCGTTTTTTTGCCCCCTCTAACTAACTGGTTCTGATTTTGTATACCTATTTAGTCGATTGTCGAACCTAGAACATCCTGTGATAGCTCTAATCGACCATACGCAACAAGAATTTACCGCACCAAGTGTGCTCACTAGAGATCCAGGAACGTAGAAAAAAAGATACTGAACGTTCCCGTTACATTAACCTCTGCTATAAGCAGATGACGCGGTTTCATGACATGGAGTACTTCTGCTCATCGGCTTCTTTGTGTGTCTCGTAACTGTCAAATAGCATATTATCATTGGATCCGCTAGCTTTGATTTCATCAAATCACCAAAAGTAGGTAGACTTATTTTGGCAAAATAAAAAATTAAAAAAAAAATTAAGGTAATGCAGGTATAGGTGCAGATCATTCGGCATCTAAGTTCGTCGACACGAACGACATATATGGCATAGCTCCCTATTTCAGCTGGGCTATGCAAAACTCCTATAGCAGAGAGGTTCGGCTCACAATGAAGATGACCACTTTATCAATATATATTCGAGTAACGAGCTATAAGGAGAAAAGGTTCAGTTCTAATTCGTCTGCATCAATAGGCACACTCTATACAGCCATAAAGCAACGTCTTCTAATATTATGAGCACATTTTTTTTACCCTGTGCCAACCAATGGCCGTAAGAGCTTACATAACTGTTACGTAATTAGACCGTGTTACATGTGAACTATTATGTGTTACACCAAGTTACTTCATGCATAAAAAGTAGGCAGATACAAATCCCATACAGCCCAAAATATTCTCTGCGGGTATACTTTTTCGCACTTAAAAAATTAAGGTATTCGGATTGGACCACATTGTTACTGCGA